TTCGGGCAACGCTTGTAAAGAACGTACGGGACACCGTTCGGACCTGGGGCAGACTTGCCGCTGGTTTTTTCACAACGTCCTCAACCTCAGACCAAAGGGGAGGTACCATTTTAAATGGTACCTTCGGCACCGAAGGCTGTTTAAGACCGCTAAGGATCTCTGGATTGTCATCGAGAGGCTCTCTCCTCTTCTTATCCGAGTACATCTTGCGTAGATGTAGCTCTAGTTCTTCCTGACTGACAACCAGAGTCCCAGACTTCGGTTGCTCGAATAGACCTCGGGCGAACTGATACGGGTCCCTAAAGAATTTCTCTCGCTCCCTTTTGGTTCTGCGTCTGTTGTTACGGAAACGCTCGGCACGACAGAGGGCACTGTGTTTGTTCTTTAAATGCAACCAAACTTCGTACAGCCCCTCCCGTTCGCTGCCTGTAGCGGCTTTGAACCGTTTTCTGAGGGCATTCTTGTCTGCCCGACACTTCAGAATGTCCCTCTGCCTCCTGCTAGTATTCTGCTTGGCACCCGGCTGTGCCTTTACTACTGTCCCGAACTCGCGGGAGCAGTGTTCATATATTACATCACCAAATTTAGTAAGCTTGTCGCCTAGCGACTTCTTGTTTAGAGTTTGTTTAAGTACCTCACATAATGTAGCCTCCAACTTACACCACACCACCTTCTCGCTCGCAGGTGGAAACCTGATCTTGGAACGCACTTCTTCAGAAATCATCAAAGGTGCTCCTCCGCAGTCGACGTCATGGGCCTCTCCGGGCGAGTGGGGTTCACCCTGCCTGTCGTACCCTGACGACTCAGAAACTACCACAGGAGTGGTAGTTTTGCGGCGGCGTTTACTGCGTGGAGCACCCTCGCATTTCATTCTTCCGGCATGCGTTCTCAGACCATGCAACCCCGTGAAGCTTTTCCCACATGTACAGAGCCAGCCCGGACGTTGGGCGAGTGTCTCAGTCCGGGGGCTAGCAAGGTCATCAACGAGGGTATCAATCAGATTGGGCCCTTCATTCTCCCCCCCTTTCGGAGGGCCCTGGGGGCATATTTCATTGTGGTTGTTCGAAATCGGAGGTATTATACTGTGTTAGGGGTGATCAACCCGGTCTACAGTCGACATCTGTTTCCAGATGTCAGTTTATCCCCCCGGCGATACCGGGGGGCCAGTCTTTCCAAGAATAGACCCACTGCCTCCCCAAAAGCATGTCGTAAGAGTCGACTAATTGGGGGGCTTCCTTTGAAGTCAGAGTGCATCTGCCGGAGAGGCAAGGAACCAACAGTCTGTATTCAAGAGAATGAGATCTGTAAAACTGATGCACATGCAACACTCAGGTTCTGGAGCAGGACTGTAGTTCAGTAGTGGACGAGCAACCAGAACTTTCCGCCAGAGTGTACAGCTGGTGAACGCAAAGAAGAAGAAGAAATAGTTGGCTTTTCATCATCATCATCATCATCATCATCCTTCTTGTGCCTTTAGATGTCAAATAGAGCTTACATTCGATACCTCCACTTTGCTTAATTGCATGCAATTTTCTCGATTTCGGACACTTTCAGCCCAGCCTTTTTTAGCCTCTTGTAATACTTTTCTTCTCAGTGTCTCCCTTGGAAGTCCTCTTTTTCTCAGACTGTTTGTTTCTCATTTCAGAGCTTGTTTAGTAAGTCTTTTCTCATTTCCTCCCAGAGTTTGCCCAATATATCTCCACCTTCTTTGTCGTATTGCAGTCGATACAGGTATTTGTCCAGGCATTTCTCTTCTTCTTCTTCTTCGATCCTTCTGTCAGAAAACTTATATCAGGAGGCCGGTAGCCTTTATGAAAGCTATCGTGCAATCCATATCCTCTTGTGTACCATACAGTTTTATCTTCATTGTGGTTGGAACAGGCCAGATTGCGTCTCTGTTGTCAGCATACAGTTGACAGTGTTGGAGCACATGCTCAGCATTTTCGGGTGCCACGCTGCAGGGACACGTCTCCGTATTTCCTACACCGAAAAATTTGAACAAATGTTGACGAAATCTGTTGTGCCCTGTCCTTAGTCTGAATATAATAGACTGTCCCTCTCTAGAGAGGCGATGAAGTGAGTCTTGGGGAGAAAATCTGTTGTGGGTATCCAGCCACCTTTCTTGGATACTAGATTGTATTAGTGTTTTCATCTCTTGGTGGGTTAAGTCGCTATTTGGTTGTACCATGTCACTGCCGCTTCTGGCCAATCTGTCTGCTATTTCATTGCCTTCCAAGCCACAGTGACCTGGAATCCACTGCAGAACAGATTGTTCTACTGAAGAGCCTAAGTAAATAAGCTGTTGCGTCAAGTCTACAAACTGAGTGTCTTTTGGGTTAACAATTGCTTGTAGAACTGACATAGCATCAGTCAGAAAGACCACTCTGCTATATTTGCTGTGCTGTTGTCCATTCAGGAAAGAACATGCGGCTAGAAGTGCTTCTGCCTCTGCTCTGTAATTGGAGGAATATGAACCTGTTGGTACAGCCTGGTTGATTTTAAAACCATTTGGGCATTCTATGTATATTCCTCCTCCTCCGTCTCTTACTGCTCTCTTGGCTGAACCATCTGTATACACTCGAATCCAACTCTGGTGTGGGTAAAGTCTATTGATCTCTCGTTCTGTAGTTGATTTCATATCAGTGCTGCTCATTGATGATTTGGAGGAGACCCCTGTTACAGTGGTTCTGACTGTTGGTAGGCTATCCCTAAGCCAAGCGGGGCAGTCGTTGTAAGGTTTAAGTGGAACATTTGGTATTATGGGAGGGAGTTTAAGGACAGCGAGCTTGGCATTTGCGTTCTTAATAAAGCAAGTTCTCTTTAGTCTAGCCTTCTGGGGTTTCTGCAGTCGGCTGTACATGGGTTGTTCTTGAAAGTGGTGGTATTTGGAGAGCTGGGTGAGGATCTTTGTGTCTCTCCTATCTTCCAGATTATGGAGACCAGTAATTGTTTCCATATCTGATATGGGCGTGGAGCGCATTGCCCCTGTCATAATACGGAGAGCATGGTTTTTGGATCTTTAAGACTTTCTGAAAATTTGATTTAGCTGCTGTGCCCCAAGCAGCTATTCCATATTCTAGTGTTGGCCTCACATAGCCTGTATAGGTCCTCTTAAGGACATTGAGGTTTGCCCCCCAGTCTGTTCCAGCTAACTTCCTCATCAGTTGTGTTCTCTTGAGTCCCTTGCTCTGTGTCTTTTCTATCTGTTTTCTCCATGTGAGTCTTGAGTCAAAGGTTACTCCTAAATATGACGGTGAGTCATCATGTATCAGTGCCTGGCTGCCATATCTAAGTGAAACTTTCTGGGGTTTGGTAGAGAGACTGAAAATGGTGTGTGTGGTTTTGGCCCCATTTACAGGCATGTACCAGCTATTGGACCACCTCTCTAGAGTTCCGAGGGATTCTTGAAGCCTTGTCTGTGCTTTTTCAGTGTCCTCCTCTGAACTCAGTAGCGCCAGATCATCGGCATACATAACGGCTTGAACTCCATTACAGAGGGTTGATTTTATGTTGTTACTGTAAACTAAGAAAAGAATTGGGGACAGAGATCTCCTCACTCTTTTTTAATTCATCCCATTTTATGTTTTCTGATTTTTCTCATTCATTTATTTTCAAATACATTTAACTTTCATTCCAAATCTTTGGTAGTTCTCCAACTTTGCTGGCATATTTTAGAATTTAAATAAACTTAAAAGTGACAATTTTTAGATTGGTCTTAAAGTTGTTTAACCTGGAACTGCAAATATTTTGTAAAGGCTTTTAATGACTGTTGTTGCTTTTGTCAATGCGTATCATAATGTCCTTCTCTTTATCTCCTTGAGGGTCAAAAACTGCTGGCCAAATGCTCCATTTATTTTACTGGTTTGTTCTCTAGCATGAAATCTATATGATCTGTTGTTGGTGTCTTTAATATATTTGTTTTCTCATAACTTTGTTGGCGGAGTGGTCTCAAGGCGTGGCATCTGCCTTAAGTGCTGGAGGTCCCAGGTTCAGGTCCCTGTGAAGGCTAGGTTTTTTCATGTTGACTTCTAGTAATTTCACCTGGTTCCTGGGTAGTAAGACCGGATGTCCGTGTGTATTGTTGTGCACGTAACAAATCTCTTTGCAGTTGGAAATCGAAAAGAGTAGCCTAAGGGTGCTGCCTGGGCAATTAGGAGTTAAAAATCTACCAAAGTATTTCAGGATTCTCACCGGTGCTACCGAGTTCATGCACTGTGCTGAGATTCTTTGGACTCAGGCTTAGGCTAGAAGTAAAATGGAGCATATTTGGGTTACTTCCCTTGTGCCATGATGTTGATCCATTGTATAAACCAAACCAAACTTGTTGGCTTTCACAAAGTACTTTTTAGGGAAGCAGTGGATCAGTTTTTTTTTCCTTCCACAGTGGAGCACTCGATCCCACAATGGAGCACTCGATCCCACAATGGAGCACTAGATCCCACAACGGAGTACTCTGATCCCACAATGGAGCACTCTGATCCCACAATGGAGCACTCTGATCCCACAACAGAGCACTCTGATCCACAACGGAGCGCTCTGATCCCACAATGGAGCACTAGATCCCACAATGGAGCAAGCTGATCCCACAACGGAGTACTCTAATTTCGAAATGGCACACTATAATCCCCAATGGAGCACTCTAATCCCACAACGGAGCACTCTAATCCCACAACGGAGCATTTTAATCCCACAATGAAGCACTCTAATCCCACAGCAGAGCACTCTAATCCCACAATGGAGCACTCTGATCCCACAATGGAACACTCTGATCCCACAATGGAGCACTGTGATCCCACAACAGAGCACTATGATCCCACAACGGAGCACTCTAATCCCACAATGGAGCACTATGATCCCACAACAGAGCACTCTAATCCCACAATGGAGCATTCTGATCCCACAACGGAGCACTCTGATCCCACACAGGGAGAAAAGTGTATTAAAATAGAACAAAACAACTAAATGAGACAACGAAACAAAATTCACAAGGATCACTTCACCTTCACTATCATCTTGATGTTCCTGCTCAACGATGGTCTGAAGTGTCACTAAGTTGTAGTAGATTCCCTTTTTCTCCATCAGCGTCTGATGCCTGCCAGTTTCCACAACTTCGCCACTGTCAAGGACGTAGATGACGTCTGCATTTTGTATGGTTGACAACCGGTGGGCCACAACAATAGTCGTCCGGCCTTCCCGGGCCTGTCAAAATATATGGTTGTTGTTTTAAATGATATTTTAATTGAATAATTATAACGAATATTCCCCGTGTGGGTTCCAGGTAAAAACAAGAATAGAGCCACTGCCTGCTCAAAAGCATGTCAGAAGAGTCTACTAACTGGGAGCGTCCTTCGAAGTCAGTGTATATCTGATTGAGAGGCAAGGAACCAACAGTCTGCATACAAAGGAGTCAGACCTGTGAAACAGATGTGCACACTCAGTTTCTGGAACAGGACTAGAGTCCAGAAACCTGAACTTTCCGACGGAGTTTACAGCCAGTGTATGTGAAGAATAAAATAATGGATATATTCCCTCAACAACCAAAGAATTTGAAAAAAAAACAAAACAAAGAGTGGATATATTTTTTATCCAACCCAACACATTTAAAGTATTTTATAATTCAAATGTGACTGGTTGGTTTGTAGATGGGCGGTTGGCTGGCTGTTCTAAGTTGTTTGGTGGGTCACTAGGTTCAAAGGGTCAGTTAGTTGGTTGCCTTGTGGGTTAGATGATTGATGAACTGACTGATTGGTTTGTGGCATCTCTGTGATGAGAAGTGAATGATTTTGTTGTTTCTTCACAATCTATGAACCAATCAATTGACTGATTAAACAACTGAATAGTCAATCAGTTAAATCAGTCAATTAATACATTAAACAACCAGTCAATTAATATATTTAACAACCAGTCAATTAATCACTGAATAGTCAATCAGTTAAATCAGTCAATATATTATACAACAATCAGTTAAATCAGTCAATATATTAAACAACCAGTCAATTAATCACTGAATAGTCAATCAGTTAAATCAGTCAATGAATACATTAAACAACCAGTCAATTAATCACTGAATAGTCAATCAGTTAAATCAGTCAATTAATACATTAAACAACCAGTCAATTAATCACTTAGACAAATAATTTACCTTTCAACCAGATAATCAAATAATTTTTAAACATTATCCATTTGAACAAAGCAGACACAAACATTAGATTGCACATCTTATTGCCTGGCATATTTCGCTGTATTTCGTTAGGTGCATACTACAGTAAAAATTACATAAATGAAGCAAATAAGTTAATCTTTATAAGTGAAGAACAAGTTCAACAACAGTCAAATCAAATGCAAATGCTTGTTTTACCTGGGTAGTCACAGTCTCAGAACAATATCTGTTTTTTTTTTTTTTTTTAAAGTTCAGTTATCCATTAATACAATTCACAGACCAATCAATCCATCTACCAATCAACTATATAGTCCATCACCCAGTAAATGGATAACTAATCAATCAATCACAAATTCTTTTAACCAATCCATCAAACAAGCAAACAATGAATCTATGAAGCAGCAAATAGACCAGCCACCCTATCAGCCAATCAGTTCATCCGAAAATGAGTCAAGCTGGCCAGCTGGTGCTGCAGAATCAGAAGTTGAACAAATGGTTTATGACAATTCCCGCCCATTTAATGTGATTGTACATACCAATGACTCTGTTTTGATTCTCAGACGAAGTACATGGGAGTTCACAGCAAAAGGGAATGGGCGTTGTTTAGTACAACAAAGCCTTGCATATGATATCACAACGTCTAGTTTGAGAATGGAGGTGGAGGCAGTCACTGCCGCCTTCCGTTGGCTTGAGAATCACCTGTACAAACATGTCGTGATTGTAACTGACTCACAGAGCATGTTGAGAAAGGTGGAGACAGGCATGCTCCGTGCAGAGTGGCAAGCATCACTTCAGAGGTCCCGGGTAGTTAGCATCCTTTAGATATTGTCTAAAGACATGCCGGTGTGTTGGGAAATGAGCAGGCAGATAGACTGGCTGGTTCCGCACCACATGGTGGTGAATTGATGTATGACAAGCTGGATGTTGTGAGGCCCCTTTGGAAGCGAGTGAACAGTGAGGAGGCACAAACAAATCATTGCCATCTGAGGAGAATGTCACTGCAAGGATTTACCAGGTAATCTGGACGACACTCAATACGCATGGCAAATGCAAGACAGTTACTGGTGCCATCGGAAATGGAACTCATCACTTGCTGCTGAAGATGGGGATGGATCGCTTATGGGAGTATCCTGAGTGCTGTGATGTTGATTTAAATTTGACTTTAACACCCAACAACCCAATTACTCCATTAATTCGGTTATTTAGTTAGTTGACAAATCATCCTCATTGCTATCAAGCCATTCGGTCCATAAAAACTTGCATCCCCCTCCTCAATAAATCACACAGTGTGTAGCGGCCGACGACCCCAGTTCTGAGTTAATTTTGTCTTCTTCTTTGGCTTCCTGCATACTGTTCCTCAATTCGTAAATTGATTAGAACAATTATGTGCAGACAGCAGGGTTCATAGCCAAATTTACCAATCAATTTCAAGGCTTTTCAAGGTCTTTTTCAAGGTCTCCTTAGTTTTTTTCAAGGTTGTCTCGGTGTAATACTGAAACAAGATTTTTGCCTTGTTCAAGGGTGTACTGAGCACACAAGGTACTTCATTTGTGCCACATGTGTTGGTATACCAGCACAGATATCATCATCATGTAGCATTTCCTTTGTCCTGACAAAAAAACCTCGGTCTCTCACCAGCTCTCCCGCCTCATGTACCTTTTTATACTCAAGGAGTCACTTATATCCTGTGCCCATCTTCGTGTTGGTCGGCCCCTGAGCTTGATACAGTCGTGAGAAGAAATCTTCATGAGAACTTGGTCACAACTTGCAAAACTGATAGAAAGAGAGTAAGGGAAAGGCAAAGAGATAAATACCTTCATGGCCTGGCCATATGGATTAGGCAAGACAAGAACACTGACCTGACCCATGATTCTAGTGATCGTGTGAGATGGGGAATCATGGCAGCCTACACATATCGGCACAGCACATGATGATGATGATGCTGAAGATGATGTTGCTGATGATGATGATGATGATGATGATGATGACAATGATAACACTTTTTGCCTGGCCTTACCAATGTATGAGTCTGTGTGAATGATGTGCATTTATAGTTTGTTAGACTCTAGGAACATGCTTTAGAAAATCAATTCTGATAGTCTACGCTCTGAATGGGTAGTTAAGTTAAGTTGAGTCAAGAATAAACATCACAGCACTCAGGGCATTCCCATGTGTGCTCCGTCCTCATCTTCAGCAGCCAGTGCAGAGTTCCAATACTGATGAGTTGTGTCAGCAGTGTTTGCAATTCTGGTAGTTTCCCAGACTGAAGTGCTTCAAGTACTGATTTAGCATCTGTCAGCATTACCACATACTGTGAGCCAAGGTTGGTATTTAGCAGTTTCTCTGTTGCTATCTTGATAGCTTGAGTTTCTGCATCGTAGCTTTGGCAGTACTTCCCGGTTGGTACGCTGGACTTATCCTTAGTACCATCTGGGAATTCGATGTACATCCAGCACCACCATTTCTAACTGCACTTTCTGCGGACCCATCTGTATAGACTCTGACCCATTGTTCTTGTGGGTATTCTTCATCAATATAACTGAGGGTGGCCATTTTGCATTGTACACTATCTTGCTCTTTCTTGTCAAATATCCCTTTCACATTTGTCTGGATTTGTACTGTTAGTTTGCATTTTTCTCTCCATAGGGTTTGTTCCGGAATACTTTTAAGTGGGCAACCAATTTCTGGAAGATCAGGAGTTTGTCTACATATTCTTTTTGCTTGATGTATAAAGCTGCTTCTTTTTAACCGTCCCAAGGCTAGGTTCTTAAATCTATTTTCCATCGGGTGATCTGGCATACTGAGGAACTTTTCAGCTTGTATTTGCAACTTTGTATCTCTGCATTCTCTCAGTGCCTGTGTTTTCCCAGCTTTCTCCATTTCTAATATGGGGGTTGATCATCCCTCCTGTGATAACCCTGAGCGCTTGATTTTGCACTTTGTCCAACTCCTTTAATGTGGTACTAGATGCTGAACACCATGCAGTTGACCCATATTCCAAGTGTGGAAGTATGGTCTGCTTGTATACTTTATTGAGTATTTTCCCATCTGCTCCCCATGTGGTTCCACTTAGTTTTCTTAGAATTACTGTCTTCCTCCTGGCTTTGGTTGCTGCCTTGTTGATATGTTTTCTCCATGTCAACCTGTCATCAAATGTGACTCCTAGGTATGTGGGCTCTTTATCATCTCTCAGGGGTATTTTTGTTTATTTTGATGGTGCCGGCTTTTTTGCTTTTGTGAGAGGGTGAATAGTGTGGTGCTACATTTGTCTGTGTTGATGCTGACACACCATCTATTGGCCCATGCCTCAAGTGCATTTGTAGCCCGCTGTAGTGTTTTTGTGGTTATCGTTGCATGTTCATTGGTGCACCAACCACAGTACCAGGTCGTCGGCATACATTGCCATTTTGATTCCATTTGGTATCTCAGCAACCAGATCGTTGATGAATAAAAGGAAAAGTGTGGGCAACAGGACACCACCTTGAGGGACGCCTTGTCGCAGTAGAACTTTTTTACTTTTAAAACCATCTACCTGTACCCGGGCTCTTCTGTTATGTAGATATGCTTTAATCCAATTGTACATTTTTCCATGCCATGGAAATGTTGTGGTGTCATATGCTAGGTTGTCTTGCACTAAATATTTTCCATTGGCTTTAGCTGCAAACCCCTTGGTACTTCTCTTTCCTCTCAACCTTGAACCATCTGTATAGAAAATCAGATCACCTGGGCTTAAATTGTCGTAAATTAACTGTTTGACTTTCATCTCCGAAGCACCCGCTGGCCACTCTCTGCACTCCCGGCCCAATGTGATTCTGAATGGGTAGAAAGCAGTTAACCTCCATCATCTGGATCTACACACTTGGGCATGCAGGAGTAAAGGGTAATGAAAGAGCTGACCAGCTGGCATGTAATGCACCAGTGGTAACAGGAAGAAGCATGGACAGAGCTGATATCAACACTGTATGGAATAGGTTAGGAGATAATAGTGAATCTCTGACACTAAAACGACTGCGTGACCGAGGGGTTAAGCTTGGTGAAGAATGTCTATGTCGTCTTCGAGGTAAAGACAGGAGATACTGTAACCAACTCCTCATGGGAACAGTCAGTTGAGGTACCTTGGAGTGGATGCTACATCGGAGGACTATGCACACATTGGGATGCCCAGTGTTTGTTAGTTAGTCGATAGATTATCCTCACCGCACCTGGAACCAATAAATCAATAGCTCTATATCAGTTTTTAATTCACCTTATCAAGAGCTTCCTGCACCACCCCTTCACTTTTGGAGTCCAGAGCAGACGTGGCCTCATCCAGTAGTAGGATTTTAGGGTCCCTGACCAGAGCTCGGGCTATAGCCACACGCTGCTTTTGTCCACCTGACAGTTGGGCACCTCTCTCTCCGACAAGAGTGTCATATCCCTGAAAATATCATCACCAAAATCATCATCAACATCATTATCATCTTTGTGAATACTTTTGAATGTGACACATCTTGAAAATATCATCATCAAAAACATCATCATCGTCATCATCATTGTCATCTTTGTGAATACTTTTGAATGAAGTGAGTCAAAAGTTGTTAGCACCCTCTTTGAAGAGGGTGCTGGGCACTCCTCTCCCCTACAAAACAATTGGATCATTGAAAATATCATCATCAAAATCATTATCATCATCATCATCTTTGTGAATACCTTTGAATGTGACATATCCTAAAAAATATCATCATCAAATACATCATCATCATCCTTTTGAATACTTTTGAATGAAAGGCGTCGAAAAAGGTCTTTACATATTACTTTTATTTCCTATTACTTTATTACAGTGATTCCCAAACTGTGCACCACGGCACCTTGGGAAGTCGCGACCTCAGGTAAAGGAGCTATGGAAAAATTTTAATTGAAAAAAGGCGCAGCGACTAAGACAAGTTTAGGAAACACTGGTCTATAGCATTCAGGTATAGAAACTATTGTTTTATTATATTGACGAACATGTTCAAGATCATCGAAATAGGGTGACTTTGTGTTACAGATTGTAGCTATGTTATGTCAGCTGATATTATCACAACAATCAAATTGGTTTGACATCCTGTAAAAAGGCTGAGTCTCTTAATTTGCTTTTTTTTTTTTTTTAGTGAATAATAAAACATGAGCAAGCAAATAAATTGTAATAATTAATCAATTCCTTACTTACGTCCTTTTCAGGACGTAATTTTTTCTTATTTGAAACCCCACTCTGGCTTTTGTCAGGGGCCGCAATATAGGCAGGCCATCAATATGGCCAAATGTCTGAACGCGGTTTCTGGGACCTCTCCACGGTGATCCTCATCCGCATGGTGGCACTTTGTGTCAGCGGGTGTTTATCGCTTGTGTGATGTCCTAGTGGGGTAGAAAGTCAGTCAGTCAGTCAGTCAGTCAGTCAGTCAGTCAGTCAGCCAGTCAGTCAGTCAGTCAGTCAGTCAGTCAGCCAGCCAGCCAGCCAGCCAGCCAGCCAGCCAGTCAGTCAGTCAGTCAGTCAGTTAGTCAGTCAGTCAGTCAAGCAAAAAAAGAAGAGCATTGAGGAAGAGATGTGATTTCTGAGAATACGGTTGTGAAAATCTCGGACAAACTGGGTAACTATCAATTATAAGGATTTTTTTTTAAAACTAGAAACATTGGAAGCAACGAGAAGAAAACTTTTAGTCAAAAGAAAGATGGCCCATGGCAATGCAATGATTCATCATCAGTCATCAGTTCTCGTTATGCCTAGTGGCACATGAGGCTTCAGAGAGGACTTTCCATGCTTTCCTGTCCTGTGCAATCTTCAGTGCAGTTTTCCATGTCAAAGATGCCGCACTCAGGTCACTTTCCATCGTTCGTCTCAATGTTGTTTTTGGGCGCCCCTGTTTTCTCTTTCCCTCTGGTGTCCATGTGAGAGCTGTTTTGGCAGGTATATCAGAAGTCATTCTCATAATGTGGCCAAGCCATTTCCATCTTTTCTTGGTAATCATACTGTCTAAAGTTTCTTGGTTTGTGGCTTGAAGTAGTTTAGTGTTTGAGATTGCATCTGGCCAGGAAATTTTGATTATTCTACGTAGACATGTGTGGTGGAAGGTGGACAGCTTGTGTGCATCCTTTTTGGTCATTCTCCAGCATTCCGCTCCATAAAGAAGAAAATGCAATGATTAAACAGCATTAAATAAATCTGTGGTTGCCAGTAATCACCAAAAAGGAAATGAAAGTCAGATTTTTGAGAACATGCATCTAGAAACATACATATAAAAGAACTCTGAAGACTTACCCAATCAACCTCTTCACTTGAAAGAAACAGACACATTTGGGCGAGGGGGGGGGGGGGGGGGGGGGGGGATAGTGTACTCAACATAAAAGACTCTGTAGCCATATGTACAAGAAATTTAAGATTGGGGCTTCAGACCTTTGCCCATGTGGATTGGCATCATAGAAGAAGAAGAAGAAGAAGAAGAAGAAGAAGAACAAGAACAAGAAGAAGAAGAACAAGAAGAACAAGAAGAAGAAGAAGAAGAAGAAGAAGAAGAAGAAGAAGAAGAAGAAGAAGAAGAAGAAGAAGAAGAAGAAGAAGAAGAAGAAGAAGAAGAAGAAGAAGAAGAAGACGAAACAGAAGAAGAAGAAACAGAAGAAGAAGAAGAAGAAGGCACATGATGATGATGATGATAATTATGATGACAACAACAATGATGAAGATGATGATGAAGATAATGATGATGATGATGGTGACACCAACTTACCTGAGGTAAAGCAGATATAAAACTATGTGCATTTGCCATTTTGGCTGCTGCCTGTATTTCCTGCATGCTAATTCCTGGCCTGCCTAGAGCGATATTTTTAGCTATAGAAATCCCAAACAGGATTGGTTCCTGGGAAACAATTCCGATGTTCCCTCGTAGCCAGTGTATATTTAGTTCCTTCAAATCGACGCCATCTAGAAGAATCTGGAAATAAAGTTGCAAAACAATATTTTTCTGTTGTAAATTGAAATAATGAGGACCAAACAGGTAATCCGGTCATCGTAATTCCAACGTCATAGCAAATGGGGTCACACAATATCTGCTCCGTTCCCTTGCCAGCATCAACTATAACTCCTCCTCCTCCTCCTTTGTCGTCTTCTTCTTCTTCTTTTCTTTCTTTCTTTCTTTCTTTCTTTCTTTCTTTCTTTCTTTCTTTCTTTCTTTCTTTCTTTCTTTCTTTCTGTCTGTCTCTTTCTTTCTTTCTTTCTTTCTTTCTTTCTTTCTTTCTTTCTTTCTTTCTTTCTTTCTTTCTTTCTTTCTTTCTTTCTTTCTTTCTTTCTTTCTTTCTTTCTTTCTTTCTTTCTTTCTTTCTTTCTTTCTTTCTTTCTTTCTTTCTTTCTTTCTTCTTCTTCTTCTTCTTCTTCTTCTTCTTCTTCTTCATTTTTCTTCTTTCTTTTCCTTCTTCCTTCTCCTCCTCCTCCTCCTTCTCCTTCTTCATCTTCTCTTGTTTCTGACCAATCATATCTCATAACATAATTCGTTCCAATCACCTTTCACAATTCTGATGAATTACAGCTCTTAATTCTGACCATTCATATAGCTAAATTTAGAGCTCTCATTTCTCATTACTGACCTGTTACAGGTCAGTAATATATATCTTATGATTCTAACAAATCACATTCTTCATTTCTGACTAATCACATCATATAGTTTGAACCAATCAATCCTTTTTTTATTACAACCAATCACATTCTCTAATTCTAACCAATCAATCCTTCAGTATTATAACCAGTCACATTCTCTAATTCTAACCAATCAATCCTTCAGTATTACAACCAGTCACATTCTCTAATTCTAACCAATCAATCCTTCAGTATTATAACCAGTCACATTCTCTAATTCTAACCAATCAATCCTTCATTATTATAATATTATTATAATTCTATAATTCTAACCAATCAAATCTCTTAAAATCCTTAAATGGAAACAACCTACCTTGCCATGATCTGGATCATAAAACCGCTGGATGAGGTTGATAATGGTCGACTTTCCACAACCACTGGATCCCACGAGGGCAACTGTCTGACCTGGTTGTATATCCAGATTAAAACCCTTAAGGACCTATTGGTTGGAAGTTTATGTATACAGTTAGGTCATTAGGCAAAAATTAGAAAAAGAGGAAATGTGACGCTAGTTGGTTGTTAGGAATAAATTTTCATCTGTTTGTAGTGTACAAAGTGTCCGAAAAGTCTAGACACATGGGCGAAAATGCATTTTTTTTTTCAATAAATAAAAAATATTGATAGCATGTTATTCAATTGTAATATTAGATCTTCTTGCTTCTTTTGTCGTCTCACAGGTTGTAGCTCAGGGTAGTGGTTTTGTCATCTTACTGATACCAGGTTGAAGCCCAGTGTCATGGTTTTGTCGTCTCACATATATCAGGTTGTAGTCCAGTGTCGTGGTTTTGTTATCTCACTGATACCAGGTTGTAGCCCAGTGTCGTGGTTTTGTTATCTCATTGATACCAGGTTGTAGTCCAGTGTCGTGGTTTTGTTATCTCACTGATACCAGGTTGTAGCCCAGTGTCGTGGTTTTGTTATCTCACTGATACCAGGTTGTAGCCCAGTGTCATGGTTTTGTCATCTCACTAATACCAAGTTGTAGCCCAGTGTCATGGTTTTGTCATCTCACTAATACCAGGTTGTAGCCCAGTGTCATGGTTTTGTCATCTCACTAATACCAGGTTGTAGCCCAGTGTCATGGTTTTGTCATCTCACTAATACCAGGTTGTAGCCCAGTGTCATGGTTTTGTCATCTCACTGATACCAGGTTGTAGCCCAGTATCATGGTTTTGTCATCTCACTAATACCAGGTTGTAGCCCAGTATCATGGTTTTGTCATCTCACTAATACCTGGTTGTAGCCCAGTATCATGGTTTTGTCATCTCACTAATACCTGGTTGTAGCCCAGTATCATGGTTTTGTCATCTCACTAATACCTGGTTGTAGCCCAGTATCATGGTTTTGTCATCTCACTAATACCTGGTTGTAGCCCAGTATCATGGTTTTGTCATCTCACTGATACTAGGTTGAAGCCCAGTATCATGGTTTTGTCATCTCACTGATACCAGATTGAAGCCCAGTATCATGGTTTTGTCATCTCACTAATACCTGGTTGTAGCCCAGTATCATGGTTTTGTCATCTCACTGATACCTGGTTGTAGCCCAGTATCATGGTTTTGTCATCTCACTGATACCTGGTTGTAGCCCAGTATCATGGTTTTGTCATCTCACTAATACCAGGTTGAAGCCCAGTATCATGGTTTTGTCATCTCACTAATACTGGTTGTAGCCCAGTATCATGGTTTTGTCATCTCACTGATACCTGGTTGTAGCCCAGTATCATGGTTTTGTCATCTCACTGATACCTGGTTTTAGCCCAATATCATGGTTTTGTCATCTCACTGATACCTGGTTGTAGCCCAGTATCATGGTTTTGTCATCTCACTGATACCTGGGTTTAGCCCAGTATCATGGTTTTGTCATCTCACTGATACCTGGTTGTAGCCCAGTATCATGGTTTTGTCATCTCACTGATACCTGGTTGTAGCCCAGTATCATGGTTTTGTCATCTCACTGATACCTGGGTTTAGCCCAGTATCATGGTTTTGTCATCTCACTGATACCTGGTTGTAGCCCAGTATCATGGTTTTGTCATCTCACTGATACCTGGTTGTAGCCCAGTATCATGGTTTTGTCATCTCACTAATACCAGGTTGAAGCCCAGTATCATGGTTTTGTCATCTCACTAATACCAGGTTGAAGCCCAGTATCATGGTTTTGTCATCTCACTAATACCTGGTTGTAGCCCAGTATCATGGTTTTGTCATCTCACTGATACCATGTCGTAGTCCAGTGTTGTGGCTTTGTTGTCTCACTGATTCTAGGTTTTAGCCCAGTGTCACGGTTTTATCGTGATGTTGATCCGTTGTTCAAATCCTCTAAACCTCAGAAGCTCATAACAAAGAAGAAATCTGAGGTTCTTGAGAAAGATGATAAATTGAGGTTGACTGGAAATTAAAAGTTTATGATTTATGGGAAAGAAACAATCCCTCATTACATTGTCCTTGAGGGCAAAAAGGTCAATATACACAACATTTGATAGGGAATGGGTTAGGAAACTATTTATTTCAAAGTTAATCAATTAAAGATCATAAATAATTATCTAATAGAAGTGATTGTAATCTGCAATGACCTTCACATCTTTGCGAGTAGGATATGCAAATTCAATGTCTTTGAATTGAATGTAACCTTGAACTTGTGCTGGTTTAAGTCCTGTGGGGTCGGATGAATCTATTGGTGGTTCCTGGATGGAAAAAGAAATGCAAAACTGGAATACAATTTTAAACATGATTTCATACTGGAATGATATCTTCATGAAAGCAACAAAACAAACAAACAAACAAACAAACAAAAAAGCACGTCTGATTTCTAGAAACTGATTTTTTTCTTTCTATTAGTAATAATTTTACAGAGTTGTTTTGGTTTCTAAATTTAAAAAAAAATATAAAAGAAAGAAAGAATGAAAGAAAGAAAGAAAAAAAGAAAGAAAGAAAAAAAGAAGAAAGAAAGAAAGAAAGAAAGAAAGAAAGAAAGAAAGAAAGAAAGAAAGAAAGAAAGAAAGAAAGAAAGAAAGAAAGAAAGAAAGAAAGAAAGAAAGAAAGAAAGAAAGAAAGAAAGAAAGAAAGAAAGAAAGAAAGAAAGAAAGAAAGAAAGAAAGGGAAAAATTAAAAACACGGAAGACAGGAAAAAAAATAATACATAACAAATTATACGAAAGAAAAAAAGAATGAAATGAAAAGATAAAATAACTATAAAGAAAGAAAGAGAGAAAGAAAGAAAGAAAGAAAGAAAGAAAGAAAGAAAGAAAGAAAGAAAGAAAGAAAGAAAGAAAGAAAGAAAGAAAGAAAGAAGAAAGAAAGAAAGAAAGAAAGAAAGAAAGAAAGAAAAAAGAAAGAAAGAAAGAAAGAAAGAAAGAAAGAAAGAAAGAAAGAAAGAAAGAAAGAAAGAAAGAAAGAAAGAAAGAAAGAAAGAAAGAAAGAAAGAAAGAATTCATGACTGACATCCTTAATAATACTGAAGACAGTTCCTCCGGCCCCCTTAGCTGTCAAGATGGAAGTGATGTGGGGGGAGGCCCCGCCCAGGGCAAACGATCCAATCATCACACAGAAAAATATCGAGAACACACCCCCAGGAGACAGACCCTGACTGCCATTGCTGTTGTTGTATTCATTGACCTGTGTGGAGCCGTACCTATTGCAGACACAAATACAGTGACAGGTTGAGATAATTATTAACTGAACAAAGATAATTACAACGTCATCATCATCGTCATCATGTAGCAGGTCCTTTGCAGAAAGTCGCTCTCATCACGGTCTGCCTGAAAGAAACTAGGTCTCTCGCCAGCTCTCCCGCCTCATGTACTTTCATACTCAAGGAGTCACTTATATCCTGTGCTCATCTTCGTGTTGGTCGGTCCCTGCCCCTCCTTCCTGGTGCCATGCCTTCTGCTATAATTTTTTCCAGTCCGTCGTGGCGCTTAATATGACCAAAATATTTCAGCTTCCGAGAAAGGATGCTGTTTATTAGCCAATCTTCCTTGATGTTCAGATCTTTCAAGATGTCAGTATTTCTCCTCTTCTCTGTCCAAGATACTCTGAGAATCTTTCCATAGCATTTCAGCTCAAAAGCCCCTATTCTCTTTCTTAAGGACTGGGAGATAGTCCACGACTCACATCCATATGTTGTTAGAGGGAAGATGCATGCTCTCAAAATTCTAATTTTTATCTCCTTGCTGGTGCTTAACCATAGACTTTTAAGGCTGTTAAATCTTTGCATTGCTATGGCCATCCTCCTTTTAATTTCTGTAAAACAGTCTCCATTGCTATTTATTATAGAGCCTAGATTTTCAAAGTTTGTGACATTTTCAATTTCTTCATCATTTATTGTAATTTTTGGGTGACAGCCAGTTTTATTTGTTTTCTTTAAATTCAGGAACAGATTTTGATCTTCACTGTGCTTTTGGACAGACAAATTAAATTTTCTATTCCCTTTACGAAAGGAGGACTGTTCATTTGCGTATTGAAGTTCTAAATTAAAAAGTAAAGAAAATTATTTTAAAAGCATAGATATCAGGTAATCAGTTACTCCCTGTTCTAACATTTTAGCGAATGAATCAACTCCATAATTGTTCCATTTCTTTGCCAATAAAAGCTTTACAGAAAACCGCCACTGTCCCTTCAGAAAAATTTGATACAGACTGCAGTATCAACAACTCCTGTAGCACACTCACACATTTAATGCATAAGGCATATTATTTTTAAAAAATGGCAGTGACCAGTGTAATATGGATTTTTTCCAGCATTCACAGGATCAAAGGATTCATCATCACCATCATGTGGCCTGCCACCTGGCGTAGGCACTCATGTGTCTCCACAGATTACAACTCTCTTGATGATATCCCTTCATGCCATTGTTTTAGCCCATCCAGCATCATCTCTCTTGGTCTGCCTCTACTTTTTTTTCCACTGATCTTTCCAGTTGTCACAACGTTCTGCAATGTCTCTCTTCTCATTATGTGGCCAAAGAACAGTGTTTGTCACCTACTTATTGTTTTTTATAGAGATCTACTTTCATTAGCTTCTTTCAAGCAATCGTTGTTAGTTACTCTGGCCGTCCAAGGTATTCGTAACATTCGTAACAGTTAAAGGATAATTGATAAAAAAAAGGCTGTAATTTCTGACAAAACTTCAAAAGTGTTAAAGCTACAAAAAATACAATGTTTCTACAGCCTGTAGTTTTCCTCTGTATGTAGACTGAAAGGAAATAGGTCTGTTGCCCTGCTACTGAGCTGGGTGCATGGCATGACACTGTGAGCTGCGGATTTCATTCAGAATGCTTTTTATGCCTGTGACCAATGTGGTTTGTGTTTTGTTGAATGCATTTCAGAAAATAGTGAGTGGCCTATTTAAGAGAGTTGGTGATGCCTTATGCGATTGGTTCTGTGTGCGCCTACTGATCTGTTGCAACTGCTGCCTCCATCAACAATTCGACTGTTGGTGTTAGCAAATCTGATGCCTGCTTTACTCATGTGTATGCTATTGGCTTTGCTAAGACTGCAGTCTGTGTTAAATTTTTTCACAAAGGACAAGATGGACTTACTGTTTGGGTTTTGTTGGCACAATGTTGAATGTCAAAATAAGAATCAAGATCAGAACCATCATAGCACTCAGAACACTCCCACAAGCAATCCATCATCCGTCCCCATCTTCAGCAGCATGCAAAGAGTTCGAATTCCAATGGTACCAGTAACTGTTTGATTGTATATCTGTCTTGTCCTTCCCCTGAGTATTCAGCATTGGCCAGACCCCCTGGTAACTCCTCGCAGCACTATTTTCCTCAGACCGTAATGTTCTATTTGTGCCTCCGCACTGTTCACTCGCTCCAAAGGGCCCTCACAACATCCAGCTTGTAATACAACAGTTCACCACCAAGTGGTGCAGAACCGGCCAATCATTTTCAGTATAAAGAAACAGCCAAAGTGTTCAAAACAGAAAATGATTTTTTCCAGGCAAACCTGTAAAAAAAAAAAAAAAAAAAGTAAAGATCCCTTTTAACGCCTTTCGGCGCATCGGGCATATGGGCAGAGCGTCCCATATTTTTACAGACCATCAGCACTCTGTGGGTAATGTGGTCAGCATTACGGAGGCTGTCTTCACTTTCCCAGGACAGCCCATCCTGGTACCCATTTTAGGCTGGGTCGACCTGCGACGTCCCATACCATGATAAAAATCCACGCAGCCTGCAGTGGGTTTCGATCGCAGTATGCTGGCTTACGAGTCGGACTGGCAACGCCTTAGCCACGGACGCCGCAGGCAAACCTGTCGTCACCTGTAGTCACTCTTATTTATGAGTCAAAAAATGAGGACTTAACTAGGGATCACAATGACTGAGTTTTATAAGTTCATGAAAGATGATCAGGTATACAAACCAAAAGGCAAGCCCATAAGCACAGAACATGATCAGCATTGTGAAGCCCACACTCAGACCCGTGAACAGGGCTTTCTTGACCCCGAGTTTCTTGCTTCCTTCTAGGGCCTGGCCGTACCTGGAACAACAAGTGATTCATAGTTGGTCAGGCATTACAAAGGTATAGCCGGTCAGTTCCACTATAATCTCCCCAAACAAACTAGGTCATGTTTCATTCATAAATTTTTTAGACTCTGCTGTCCGGGGGTTTACAGGTTGCCGCTATGTTGTTTCCCTTTTGGCTTGTCTTGCATTTACATTTTTCTTCAGAGGAAGAGAATGCCTGTGACATAGGTTGCAGCACTCTCTAGGGGGATTTGTGTTATACCCAGTTTCTAAATGTTTGTGTTGTGCTAAAAGCGCTGGCATGCTTAAATATACAACATGCCATATCAACAGCATTGCCGAACACCCCTGTGTGAGAAGGTAGGGTGACTGAAGGTCGACCAATCAGAAGTGAGCTAGTGTGTCTATGGGCAGTCGGTGGGGAGATTATCATGAAACTGACTGGTATAGTTTTACCATTACAGGATATTGTAATGATGGGAATTGCCAGGGAAACCCCATAGAGTTTCTAGGGTGATGTAATAAGGTCAGAAGGCCAGGAAAATGAGGGGCACATGGGAAAGCTGGTGCTTTATTATTATCCTACCCCAAACAGGGGAAATCCACAAGTCACGGGACACTCTAATATTTCAGAGAGTGGTAGATAGGCTGCATGCAGTTGTGGGACCTAGGCTGCATGCAGTCGTGAGACCTAGGCTGCACTCTCTTATGGGACATAGGTAGGTTGGCGTTAGGGCCAGTTCTAGATGTTTTGGGGTCATTAAAAGTATCAGAGAGCCAGGAAACCCAGTCTTACCACCCTCTAAAATGTTGGACTGTCCTGTGACGTCATCTGGGGTAGGATATTATTAAAGCACTAGATATTAAAATAATGGGAATTTCCAGGAAACCCCAGAGAGTTTCCAAGGTGACGTAATTAGGTAATAAGGCCAGGAAAATGAAGGACACATGGGAAAGGTGTATTTAGAATGTCCCATGTTTTGTCGACTCTGGTAATGACAAATCGTGGGATTGAAACGAACATTCGAACGAAGAGATGATATAGAGTCAGTGGGTATTTGGACGACAGTGTGAGAGGTTGACTGCAAAAAGGAGCGACTGTTATGATTGGATGTCGATGATACTGTATGAAAGTTGCTGAGGCTCGGAGAAACATGGCTGGGTCAGTGTGAATCTGAAGCCAACGCCAACGACTGTGAGATCCTGTGATGCTGGACGGGAAAATGCAAGTGATTGGCATGAATGAAATGTATGTAGCGAAAGGTAATTACAGCTAGATTTAAGTTGTGTTCTTGATACAGCAGTATTCGGGTTTTGGCCCTTGTATTATTAGTGAAACCCCCCGACACTTCGATGAGGTACAAGGTGGAAGAGAAGAAGAATAATTAGTGAGAACACAGGACACTGACCGGACTTTAAGGTTGTTTTATCAGCAATAAATAATCGATAATTGTCGATAGGTGTGTCTTTATCTTCTGTGTTCGTACTAACATAACAACTGCACAAAGAGAAGATCACAGTGTCAGTGGGCCCAGATAGACCTAGTCACAGCATTAGTGCAGGGGGCTGAGTTGTCTCTAGGCATGGTGTCCGCCTCTTTCATGTTCTTTGCCCGTGGTAGTATGACTCGGAGAATCTTATTCTGAGAATCTTTCTATAGCATTTCAGCCCAAAAGCCCGTATTTTCATAGTATAAGGTACATTTTTTAAATTGCTATAAGCTCTATTATTTCACTGTTTTAAAGTACTCATCATCATCATCATGTAGCAGGTCCTTTGCAGAACGTCGCTCTCATCACAGTCTGCCTGAAAGAAACTCGTTCTCTCGCCAGTTCTCCCACCTCATGCATTTTCACATTCAAGGAGTCACCTATATCCTGTGCCCATTTTCGTGTCGGTCGGCCCCTGCCCCTCCTTCCTGGTACCATGCCTTCAGCTATTATTTTTTCCAATTCGTCGTGGCGCTTGATATGACCAAAATATTTCAGCTTTCGAGAAAGGATGATGTTTATTAGCCAATCTGCCTTGATGTTCAGATCTTTTAAAATATCAGTACTTCTCCTCTTCTTTGCCAGTGGTATTCTGACTCGGAGAATATGATTCTGAGAATCTTTCTATAGCATTACAGCCCAAAAGCCCCTGTTTTCTTAGTAAAAGGTATATTTTTTAAATTGCTATTAGGTATATTATTTCACTGCTTTAAAGTACTGCTCTTGTAAAAAGAGTACAGTTTTTGTGTGTGGGTATAAAGTATATTCTTTTCCTGGTATAAAATAATGCTGTTTTATTGGTGTAAAGTTACAAACTTATATAGATGGTTCTGAGTTCTCTCTCTTCTCTTCTGCCTTCTATCGCCCCAGTGGAGCACAGGCCCTCAGCTAGGTCAAGTCATTCTGTCCTTCGCTATTAGTTGCAGCTCTCTCCATGTCCTACCTATTTGATTTTTCTATTGTTGGTTAGTTTTTGTGGCTATTGTTTTAACGGGATGAGATAGTCAACCTACCCTTAGTTGCCTCTTAGGACTTACCTGACTTATGTGTTTGCGTTTGTGTGTCTGTGGGTATGTGTCTGCGTGTATCTGTGCGTGCACCTGTGTGTATGAATGCCTGCATATGCTTCTGTATGTGTGTGTCTATGGTTATGTGTCTGTGTGAGCATCAGTGCGTGCATGTGTGTCTGCGATTGTGTGTGTGTTTGTGTGTCTCCGTGTGTGTTTGTGTCTGCATGTGTTTGTGCATATGTGTCTGTGTGTGTGTGTGGTTTGTATGTGTGTGTTTCTGTGTATCTGTGTATGTGATTGGGTATGTGCGCGTATGTCTGTTTGTGTCTGCATTTGTTTCTATGGGTGTGTCTGTGTGTGTATATCTGTATGTTTGTATGTGTGTGGAATGTGCGTGTCTGTGTGGGTATGTAGGTATGTATGTAGGTAAATGGGATGTGTTAATGTGTGTGTGAAAGTATGTGGGTGTGTTTATGTGAGTGGGCGGGTGTGATGTGTGTATGCATTTTACCACCCATGCTTTTGTGCTTTTTTTTTCTTTCCCTTTTTTATATTCATAATATGCATTTTATCATATGAATATAACATGCTTATAGATAAAATACAGCTGCAGTGTGAAAGACGGGTGTTTGGAAGGGCCGAAGGTACCCAATTTGTGGCCCTTTAAAATAAAATTTTTTCCTACCTAGTAGGGTGCAGTGTTCTTATTCTTTGCTTCCCGTGGGGATCCCAGTAATAAATGGGCAATTTTCTCTTTATGTTGAGAGACAGGTAAAGTGCTCGGGAGTTCACTGCCAAAGCACATGGACCAGGCTTAGTGCAGCAAAGCCTAGCATGTAATACTACAGCATCTAGCTTGAGAATGGAGATGGAGACAGTCACATCAGCTTTCTGTTGGCTTCAGAACAAGTGGCATACACATGTTGTGATTGTATCTGACTCACAGAGTATGTTCAGAAAGGTACAGACAGGCATGCTCTGTGCAGAGTGGCAAGCATGACATCACAGGTCCTGTGTAGCTAGCATTATGTGAATATTTTATCTCGGACAGGCAAGTATGTTGGGAGATGAAAAGGTGGATAGACTGGCTGGGTGGTGAACTGAGACTTCTTCTTCTGAGAGTTCACCTGTTGTAAACTCCAGCAGAAAGTTCTAGTCGTTTGTCCAGCTCTGAACTTTAGGCTTGTCCCAGAACCTCAGTGTTGCATGCACATCTGTTTTACGGATCTGACTTATTTGTAAGCAGACTGTTGGTTCTTTGCCTCTCAGGCAGATGCACTTCCACGTTGAAGGAAGCCCCCAGTTAATGGATCCTCATGACATGCTTGTTGGGGAGGCAGTGGATCTACTCTTGTTTTCCCCACAATGGGGCTCCGGCCAGAACCTACATAGGAAACCATAAATAAAATTCCCAAAGATAACATAAAAAAATTAAAACAATGATGACTAACTTTGTGATTTCCTGTGACTGTCCATTGAAGGTAATCACAGTTCGGATACAGGACAAGACTTCCTCGGCAAGTCCTCCAGCACTCGCATATTGTTTCTGTTCCCTGGCGCTGTAGCTGGACATGACCTGTTGACAGTTTACACTAATTTATGCAGTCTAAGGGGGCTGCGTGGTCTCAAGGCATGGCGTCCGCCTCGAATGTTGAAGTTCCCAGGTTCAGGCCCCGGTGAATGCGGGGATTTTTTCACATGGACTTCTAGTTATTTCCCTTGGTCTCTAGATAGTAAGATCAGATGCCCGCGTGTATTGTTGCACATGTAAAATAATCCATTGGCAGTTGGAAATCAAAGTTGTACATACTATATAGTGCACAAACTTTGTTGCACCGGCAAGGATCCTGAAATACTTTGGGTAGATTTTTAGCTGCAAATTTTTGCCCGGGCAGCGCCGTTGGGCTACCCTTTTTCAATTTCTAACTGCGAAGGGATTTCTTTCGATTCTACTACCCCGAGACCAGGGGAAATTACTAGAAGTCTACCTAAAATATTCCCAGCTTTCACCAGGGTTTGAACCCAGGACCTCCAGCACTCAAGGCAGATGCTATACCTCAAGACCAATCAGCCCCCGGAAAGATGAGACTGATATACAATCAGATTACTACTGGTATCATTGGAATTATAACTCTGGGAACTTTTCATGAACCCGCCCACGTGGCAAGAGTTCCTTCCCCTCCTATTCATGCTATGGCTGGTTGCAGGGCCTGTACTATGTTGTAGGGGTATCATAAGATGGCTTCATTTGGCATTTGCTCACCGTATATAATGTTTGTGGGAGGTTGTGTTGTCGTGAGTCTCTTTGGGATGCCGCAGGTGCCTGTGTACAAGTAAGAACTACTACAGGGGGAAGTGCCAAAGGCGTGACTGTTCATGAGTATCGAAACCGGGTGGTTTTTGTAATTCTACATTTTTTGGCAGCGGCTTTGCCAGCAGAAAAAAATAAGTCGCTGATAAGGAACATAGAAATACTGTAATGTTGTGAATTCTCGGGGAAATCCCAGAGAGTTCCCGATGGGGAGGACAAGGTCAGAGGTTCAGTGATACAAGAGAAAAATGAGACAAGTGGGTCTCGAGTATTCCATGGTGAGCGAATGAGGGATACAAGAAAAACGTGAAACTGGAATGGAAGACGTGAACAGAGAGATGGTAGTAAGACAGTTGAAGTTCGGACCAGGTTGCGAGAGATCGTTTTTGAGAGAACACCTGATGAGAATGGAGAACTTGTGGCAATGTATAATTGTTCAAGAAAAGACATGAATGTTTCCTGATTGCCAGTTTCAGCATGTACTAATACCAGATACAAGGCTTTAGGTATGATATGGATGTGTAATTCGAGAGATACGTATGGATCAAAATAGTGTGCGAGAGAGTTGACCAGGCCATCATAAATCAGCCATGCATAGTGACCACGAGGACGAAAGAATGCGCTGTCAGTGAGATGTATGATTCAGCCAATAAAGGTCTATAACTGAACGTTCGTTTCTGGTGTGTCCTAGCAACTAAGTGTTCGTCAATACAGCGATGTGGCGTGTAGAAACAAACCCCTAACAGAGCACATTGCAAATACAAAAACATCCCAGTTTCGATACTCATGAGCCATTGGGCAAGTAGCGTGAATTAATCACACAAGTGAACGGAGACGACATGAGAAAAGAGACAATAGTTGAACCAATGAAAATAAGAAAGACATAACACCTCCACAGCATAGGACAGGCCATGCGACCCACCGCGGCATAAATGGTAGGGGAAAGAACTCTTGATGTGTGGGTGGGTTCATGATAAGTACCACACTCTGCACTGGCTGCTGAAGATGTGGATAAAGCACTTATGGGAATATCTTGAGTGCTATGACCTCTGTTCTGGAATATTCACCTTGTCCCTGATAGTGGATGTGGAGCTGGATCTGATAGTACCAGAAGCAATCAGAATGTATGTTCATCCACCTTACCTTTCCTCTGAAAAGTGTTGTCTACATCCCCCTGGTCACTACCCGCAGAACCCTTCTCTTTCCAGATTGTGGTGATCTATGTATGCTTCCACACAGATTTGACCATCTCGTTAGAATGCAACAAGATTAAATACCATCACAAGCACTACATCTCAGAAGATCAGCTACAAGAGCAAGAGGACGGCCGCGAAAAATGAATTGACAACATTAAAGACCCTCTACGCCTTCACGGCATGACAATAGCCAGTGGCAGCCAGCGTGCGCTGGATTGCAAATTATTCCTCCCCACGATGCAACGGCAGAAGTGGTTTACCATGATGATGATGACAGGTTCAATCGCCCTGAAAGGGCCTTAACCCCCATCTAGTGTGTCACGTATTTAACTCTTTTGGTCCCAAGCAACACCTGGTGGGTTAATAAATGAAGCCCTTGATTCCCCTCCACAGCATATGGTGCTCTCTTACTGTTTTTGTTTTTTTAATCAAAACACACTTACACTAAAAAAATTTTTGCTTTCCCATATGGTCACTACCAGTGTAAAAACCGCCGCTGTGAAAGTAATGCATTAATGATTTGTTATTGATCGATGGATGTTCAACTCAACCAGGACATCTTACCGAGCGATAAATAAACACCTGGTGACACAAAGTGCCACCATTCAGATGAGGATCACCCAGGGACAGGTCACCAGAAGCCCTAGTGAACCCTTAGGGGTTATATTAGAGCTCCCAAACACAGCCAAGGTGAGGCTTCAAAATAACACACACACACACACATACACACACACACACATACATACATACCCACACACACACATAAACACACACATAAATACACATACACACACACACATACATATATACCCACACACATAAACACACATACAACCACACACATATATTTACACACACACACACACATACATACACACACATACACACACATACATACACACACAAATACATACATACCCACACACACACATAAACACACACATAAATACACACATACATACACACATACATATATACCCACACACATAAACACACATACAACCACACACATATATTTACACACACACACATATACACACACACATACACAAACATACATATATACCCACACACATAAACACACACATACACATACACACATATATTTACACCCACACACATATATTTACACACACACATACACACACACACATACAGAAACACACACACACATACACAAATGTATCCCATATTGGGATAGTTATTTTATTAGTGGGTCTGATTTTCATCATGGTTTTCTCTCTTTCAGTTTGAAATCTTCTGTAAAAACTTTAGGTAATGAAAGAGTAGTAAAACATGTTCTCAAAGGACCTTAACCCCATCTAGAGTGTAATGCATTTAACAAACGTCCCTAAAGGACCTTGAACACATTTAGCTTCTTCTTCTTCATCTTCTCTTCCACCTTGTACCTCAGCGAAGTGTTGGAGGGAGATGTAATATTTGTTGATGAGCTCTGTCAAGAGCACTATTAACACTGATGTTCATTTCTGTAATTCTGTTCTTAATGCCACCAACTCCATATTTTCCGAGGTCTTCCACTCGCTCTATACCCGTTATAACGTTTTTGTTTGGCTCGCTGTGGCAGATAAAAATAGGGCATTCATGTTACGTTTCCAAACTACTTCATTTGTTTGTTCTTTGATGACCTGTAAGACTGGCTTTATTCTTAGCATTACATTTAGCATGTCTTGTAATTAAAAAGAATGTCCCTAAAGGGCCTTAACTCCCATCTAATGCATCCTACATAAGGAAAACAAAAGAACATGTGCCCAAAGAGCCAACACTGAACAATCCTCACCTTGCCAAGCAAACCTGAACAGATTGCCAGGATGGGCGACAGTGACATGATGACCAGCGTCAGCTTCCAACCTTTGATGAACCCAATAATAAATCCGGCCACAAACTGAGCCAGGAACTGGATAGCCAGCCCAACTTTGTCCCCTATACCTTCCTTTACTCGCTCCAGATCACTGAAATAAAATACATTTTCAAGCATGATTATTCCACTGGCATGCGAATCAGAAGGTTGAGATTCCCTCGAAGTCAGAGTACATCTGCCTGTGAGGCAGGGAACAGCAAAAGCCAGTAAACGGTTGTACACGCAGAACTCAGGTCCAGGTAAAAGCCAAAAGTCCAAATGGACGATCTAAAGTGACCTTCGGCCGAAATTCACAGCCAGTGATCGAAGAAGAAGAAGAAGAAGAAGAAGAAGAAGAAGAAGAAGAAGAAGAAGAAGAAGAAGAAGAAGAAGAAGAAAGAGAAGGAGAAGAAGAAGAAGAAGAAGAAGGAGAAGAAGAAGAAGAAGAAGAAGAAGAAGAAGAAGAAGAAGAAAAAAAAGAAGAACAAGAAGAATAAGAAGAACAAGAAGAACAAGAAGAACAAGAAGAACAAGAAGAACAATAAGGAGAAGAAGAAGAAGAAGAAGGTTGAGAGTTCAGGTCCTCATAGAAGGGTATTATTTTTGTTTAAATGACCCTGGCTCCCCATGTTGAGCCAGCATCAAGCAGGTACCAGGTAAAGTCCTGGAAAGTAAAGGCAGCTGGATGATGTTGACCATATCACCCACTCAGTGTTGAATTGGTCTATTAATAAAGGTCTAGCCCCATATGCCCTTTCCGCCTAAAGACACATGTTAGAAACTAAGTTGTCTCCAGTTTTTTATTCTTTGATTGGAATAGGTCTTGAGATTTACTGTAAGACTCTTTCTTAAAAAAAAAATGCAAATAAAACTTCTTCCTTTTCAGCAGCATAGGGGGCTGTGTGGCCTCAATGTATGGTGTCCGCCTCGAGTGCTAGAGGTTCCGGGTTCAATCCCTGGTAAGAGCTGGGATTTTTTCACGTGGACTTGGACTTCTAGTAATTCCCCTTGGTCTCTGGGTAGTGAGATCGGATGCCCGTGTGTATTGTTGCACACTACAAAATCCCTTTGCAGTTGGAAATTGAAAATAGTAACCTAACGGCACTGCCCGTGCAAAACTTAAAGTTAAAAATCTACCCAAAGCACTGTACAGATCACTGTGTGAATATGGTACCCCTATATGGGTGGTGGCGTCCTTGGCTTTGGCGTTGGGAGTCCAACTCGTAATTCCAACATACTGCGATCAAAACCCACTGCTGGCTGTGTGGATTTTTATCATGGTATGGGGCGTCGCAGGTCGACCCAGCCTAAAATAGATACCAGGGTGGCTGTCCTGAGGAAGTAAAGACGGTCGGCGTAATGGCTGACCACATTGCCCACCTAGTGCCGATGGTTGGTAAAAACATAGGTGCTCTTCCCATATCCCTGATACACCTAAAGGCGTGAAAAGGGTTGTGGGGGGTGGGGGAGGGGAGTGGAAGGGATGGTCCTATTGTCGCTTTACAAGCTTTTTCTTTTCTTCTTCACACTCATGGGCTGTAAACTAATGCAGGAAGTTATAGTTGACTGGCTGCTGAAGATAAGGACGGAGTACTCAGGGGAATGCCCCAAGTGTTGTGAAGTCAATTCTTGACTTAACTCAACTCAACTCAGTTAGTTGACTCTTACCATATACTTGTTTGCAAGGTATGTGAACTCACAAGTTGAAGATCTTAAGAAAACATACATAATTACATATATGCATAAAATACCTAATTACATATATACATACATATACAATTTTATTTATACACTTACACACATGCCTACACACACTCACATATTTATTAATACACATCATCTTCCTTTCTTTCTTTTTTTAAGCTCCAGCGGAAAGTCCTGGTTGTTCATCCACTTCTGGATTTTGGCTTTGTGCCAATGCCTGAGTTTTACAAGTACATCTGTTTTACTGGCTTATTTGTATGCAGTTGGTTGTGCCTTGCCACTCAGGCAGATGCACTCCAAATTCAAAGGAAGCTCCGAGTTAGTCGACCATTAGGACATGCTTGTTGGGGAGACAGAGGTCCTATTCTTGTTTCCCCCACAATGGGGCCCAGAACCCATATGAAGCATATACATAAAAAACACATAAGAAGAGAACCAGGCAACTTACTCAGCAAGCCTGGTTGTCAGTTCCCCACTCTGTTGCTTGTCGTACCAGCCAATGTTCTCTCGCAAGAGTGCTTTGAAGAAAGCTTTCCGCAACTTGTGTGTTTGTCGCTCACAGGCGATTTGCAGAAAGGCAATCTGTGGATGGACAACAAAATTAATGAGTGCTTTATTAATATCCTACTCCCAAATGACGTCATAGGAAAGTCCAACATTTTAGAGGGTGATAAGACTGAGTTTCCCTGCTTTCTGATGCTTCTAACGACCTCAAAACATCAAGAACTTGATCTAACCCCAACCCTATGTCCCACGAGAGATTTTAGCCTTGGTCCCACGACTGCACGCAGCCTATCTACCACCCCTTGAAATTGTAGACTGTCCCGTTACCTCTGTATTTCCCCTGTTTTGGGTAGGATATTAATAAAGCATCAATGAATGAATTGATCACTTAAATTCTAATAGTCACAGATATGTGTGTTTAACTACTCTTTAAAAGTAATACGAGTATAGTTTTTTTTTGTTTTTGTTTTTTTTTCACTGACGGGCGAGTGGCTAGGGGTATAGCTTACCGAATAAGTATATAACAATCAAGGCCTTTCTATTTCTTCACGCTGCCATTCCAGATTTTCTTTGCACCCTTATCTTTAACTACACACACCCACACTTTCCCCTGTATGGGTAGTAACCCATAAGTGCTCTGTTCTTCTTCTAACTCAAGTCTGAGTCGGAAAAGTTCAGCACAGTGCACGGGCTCTGTAGTACCGGTGAGGATTCTGAAATATTTTTGGTAGATTTTCAACTGCCAGGGGATTTTTTACGTGCGCAACAATGCACACGGGCGTCTGATCTCACTACACAGAGACCAGAGGAAATTACTAGAAGTCCAAGTCAACGTGAAAAGACCACAGCCTTTACCGGGGAATGAATCCGTAACCTCTAGCACTCAAGGCGGAAACTATGGCTCGAGACCACGCAGCCTCCGTGTCAAGTTTAGAACCGCTGGTCAATGTTAATTAGGCGTTAACCTAACACAGAACACAGGTAGAACCGACTCACATCAGCGGAGTTGAATTAGGCCAAAGTTCTTCAGTTTCCGAAACATGCATGTTACGATCGATCAATTAATCATGTGCCGTCTGCATGGCAAAGGTTGGCTGCAATAGATCTCTAATACTTTCTATCTCATGTCCTGGTTGTACACTCTCTCAGACTGCTGCTCGTCCATCTCTTGATGTTGTCCTTCCACTTATATCGATGTCTACCGCATGTTCTCGTGCCTTTGGCCTTTCCTTTTTGTATAGTTTAAAAAAATTATATGCGTCATTTACCTATCTAGCTATGCTTCTGACTGACTTTCTACCCCACCAGGACATCACACAAGCGATAAACACCCGATGACACAAAGTGCCACCATGTGGGTGAGGATCACCGTGGAGAGGTCCCAGAAACCGCGTTCAGCCTTTAGGCCATATTTATGAACAGGCTATATTGCGGCCCCTGGCAAAAGCCAGAGTAGGGCTTCAAATAACGAAAAATGTCATCCTAAAAAGGACGAGAAAAAAATAAACTTAAGTGTTATGAAACTGCTTTAAACAATATTTAAGAGCCGCAAATGCGCCGTAACTAGATGCTGACCTTTTGATTGATTGGATGGTCATGAGTGCGAAACCGAGGCTGATTTTCATTTCTTTAAACTTCGAGACGGACTATCCTCGGCTATCCTCCCAATACGAATTTGGAACTTTCGGCAACTTCCACCGCCGAGAGTTTCCCTCACGCCGCGTGGATTGGGGCTAAACTAGATGGATAGGACTTACGAGCAAATAAAATAAAGGAAGCTGCATGAGATGCGGAGGTTGCTACTCGTGAGTCCCAGCCATCTAGTTTAGCCCCAAGCCATGCCGGGTCAGCGGCGTGTGAGATACTCTAGGCGGTGGCGGAAGTCGCCGGAAGCGCGCAATTTAAGAAGACGGAAGTGTGCAACTGACACGTGACTGAGGCCCTCTTAGGGTATATTTTCCGCCTCGATAATTTATGACCGATATTCGGAGGATAGCCGGACATACAATCTGACAGTTACTGGTGCCATCAGAATTGAAACTCTTCAATTGCTGCTGAAGATGAGGACGGAGCACTTACGGGAGTATCCTGAGTGCTGTAATGTTGATTCCTAATTCAGCATTGAACATTCTTTAAACTTGGCCTTGTCTCACACGTTGCCTTAGCCAACAATAGGTGCGAGGTAATGTCATTGGAAGTAAACGCGACCAGCATGACTGGCATGAAAGTAAAGGCGACCGAGTGCCACTTGATCTAGTGAATGAGTTCAACTACATATGCCCAATGCGCCCTCAGTGTGAACAGGTTTTTTTAATTTTTTATTTTGCTGTCATCTATGTTTAGAATGTCAGTAGTGATAATAGCAGCAGTTGTAGTAGTAACAGCAGCAGTAGTAATAGCAGCAGCAGCAGTATTAAAAGCATCAGTAGCAGTAGTGATAGCAGCAGTTGTAGTAGAAATAGCAGCAGTAGTAAAAATAGCAGTAGCAGTAGTGATAGCAGCAGTTGTAGTAGAAATAGCAGCAGTAGTAAAAATAGCAGTAGCAGTAGTGATAGCAGCAGTTGTAGTAGAAATAGCAGCAGTAGTAAAAATAGCAGTAGCAGTAGTGATAGCAGCAGTTGTAGTAGAAATAGCAGCAGTAGTAAAAACAGCAGTAGCAGTAGTGATAGAAGCAGTAGTAACAGCAGCAGTTGTAGAAATAGCAGCAGCAGCAGTAACAGCAGTAGTAGTAGTATCAGCAGCAGTCTGTGTGTCTGTCTGTATGTCTGTCCGTATGTCTGTCTGTACGTCTGTCCATTTATTTCCTATTTTCATGCCTGCCTGTTTGGTAATTCCTGCTGATTTCTTCTCAAGTTGTGTCCAATGTACCGCCATCATCTCTGTCTTACAGCTGTTGATACTAATGGTTGCCCGGTTATTTCTCTTACTTCTTCACTCATTTTCACAGAGCTTGATTCGGAAAATTGAAACTGGCTTCCTTCTCACAGTGTAGCTTGCATCAACAGATAAGACCAAGACCTGATCCAGATGACAGGATAAGACCCACATCAGGAGCTTAGGGATTTTTGTCCAGAACATTCAGGTGTTAGGGGTAATCAACAGGCTAATAGATTGGCTGCTGGACAGTTTGACATTATTGTATGGAAGATCATCTGTGTCAGAGTTGATTGAAAGTACACGAGACAGAAGGTTGTGGATAGACATGACTACCAACGCCACACTGCATGGACTATGGAAAATCATCTGTGTCAAGAGTTGATTGAAAGTACACGAAACAGAAGGTTGTGGACAGACATGACTACCAATGCCACACTGCATGGACTATGGAAAGTCATCTGTGTCAGAGTTGATTGAAAGTACACGAAACAGAAGGTTGTGGATATACATTGCTATCAACGCCACACGGCATGGGCTATGGAAGATCATCCGTGTCAGAGTTGATTGAAAGTACACGAAACAGAAAGTTATGGACAGACATGACTGACAACGTCACACAGCATGGACTCTAAGAAGAAGGAGAATAAGTTGGCTGCTGTCGCTTCTCTGGGCGGTGAACTACTTTATAATAAAGCGGAAGTGAGGAGAAGTTCTGGAATATATTCAACACAGAGGCAGAAACATAGACGGACTTTAAAACAGGTTGCAAATGGTATAATTGGCTTTTCAGCTCTTCCTCAGCTACCATGCCCATGTGCAGTCATGTAAATCTTCTTTCGTTGGCTTGAAATAAATTATGCATCTGCAATGTTGTCTCTAGTATAAACTTCACAGTCTTGTGTAATGCGCTCAGCGACCTGTAAAGTTTCCTAAAATGAGTACCAGAATGGCTGTCCTGGGGAAGTAAAGACGGCTGGCGTAATGCTGACCACATTACCCACCCAGTGCCGATTGGTCTGTAAACATATGGGACGCTCTTCCCATTTGCCCGATGCGCCTAAGGCATGAAAAGGGATCTTTACTTTTTTTTTTTAACTTTTAACCCGTAAAGTTTGACCTGCACCGATGTTTCTCTTGGCCAAAAGTTTTGCCTTGATATGTTGTGTTTGGGACAGTCTTGGAGGACGTGATCTGTTGTCTCAGGTGCCAGTCCACACATACACATGGCTGATTCGACGATTTTAAACTGTGTGTACATGTGGCTGCGAAGTCGACTGTGTGCTGTTCTAAGGCCTAGAAAAATAAATTGCTCTGGTCTGTCCATAAAATGGTAATCGTCTGGTGTCGGTTTTGGTGGCTTTCTGACTAATTTGATAATTCTCTTATTTTGTTAATAAGAGACTGGTACGTCAGGTTGTTCTTCATTTGCACCTTCCTTAGCTAGTTTATCAGCTCTTTCATTTCCAGGAACTCCACAGTGGAATGGTATCCCTTCCATAGCTACCTTACACCGACTGCCTAGTCTGGAGACTAGTGTTCGTATGCAAGGTAGTTTTCCAGGTTGGAGTGCCTGAAGCATCGCTCTTACATCTGTCAGTGATGTAAATGTTTAATTCATTTATGAATACTTACACACAATATGTAATGCAGTTACATGAACACACGCGCATACATAACAGTGAGTGCTTACATGGACATATGTGGCCACACATACTCCTAGTCCAATGTAGATGTACTTGAGAGCAAACTGGGTCATGGAGTCTTCAAAAGCGCCAAAGTCAAGAACAACGGTGATATTGTCTGCACTAGACAAGTTGCCGTGGCTACTGTTTGTGGTGTTGTCGTTGCCATAGCTACTGTTTAAGCTGTCACTGGCGTTTGTTTGAAGGTTCTGGCCATCTGTGTCCAAGGAAAAACGGGGAGAAAGGGGGGAGGTGAGAGGAGGAACATAAACACGTTTAGTACAAGGAAGAGAAAGTCGAGGAACTACATAAGGAAGAAAAAAGGAGAGATAAAATAATAGATGGACAGACAGGCGAAAGTGCACACTGGTTTTTCTTATTTTTTTTTTCTTTTTCTTTTTCTTCTTCTTCTTCTTCTTCTTCTTCTTCTTCTTCTTCTTCTTCTTCTTCTTCTTCTTCTTCTTCTTCTTCTTCTTCTGCTTCTTCTTTTACGACTACT